GTAAACTGAAAAAAAAGCTTTGCATATTGTCTATTGGAATGTTACCTTACTATAGAACTGGTTAAAATCAGTTTGGAAATAAAAATAATTAAAATAATTACAACTTTACAAGAAGAGAGAAATTGACGAAGTTGCCCCGGGTATAGGGGCAAGATCGGCAACTTCTCTCTTTTTGTAAAGTTGTAATTATTTTAATTATTTTTATTAAAGTTGCCCCTGGTATAGGGGCAACAGTAATGGGACAAGATAAGCACGTATATAAAATTATGTTATTAACAATGTATAAGTTGGAATTCACTAACAAGTTATTAACAAGTTAAAACCAAAATTTCACAAACAAACTATAAGTACGAGCAATTATTTATTGTGACATCGTCACAATGCCAGGCTACAATTTTTAATCATATTTTTAAATCATTTAATTTAAAATATATGCTCTCCACCTCAAATTAGTAGTGAGTTACCCCTGTATATCATACTTTTTCTTTAACAATAGAGTCATGCCAGTCATCTATTAGCTGCTTTCAGAGGGGGGAGTTTTGAATTGAAAAAACGTGACTTCCAGTTTGCATTGGAATTTCATATATAGTTAATTAGGGCCTCCTGTCCCTAAGGTTTCCATATCTGGTCTCCGATTTCATCTAACTCCGTTCTCCAGATTAAGACAGACGTACAAACAACAGTGGGAATTCAGAGGTCTATAATTGATTCAAATTGCAGCCCCTTGAAGTCACGTGTCGACACGAACTAACGGATTGCAATGTTTAGAATTTCGATCGGAAAAATCCAGCTTTGACACTAACTCTCACAGACATGACAATTTGGGAATAAATGTAGCATTCCTTTGAAAGCAAAATTGTCGCGTAATAAAGGCAAAAAAAAAAAAAAATTCTTAGCAGTAAAGAAATAAAATATCGTGGCGTGAAAGATACGAGCGAAAGTTTTAAAGCTGGATCAACACTTGCAGACAAAGTCGAAAGGAGGTGTCAAATTGATTAACCGATCACATTAATTGTAGGAGAACGATTAACATTGAAATTATTCAATTAAACTATACAGTAAATTGTTTTTCCATTTGAAACACGTGTTTTTATATCTGGATACCTGAAATTTCAGATTAATTGATTTCTTCGAACTTATAAAACGATGGTATTAAAAACTATGTTTGCAACACATTAAATATATTTTAATATACGGTTTGGCGAATATAAAAATTCTTCATTAATTTTTTAATATTGAATTGACTAATTTACGTATTGCAATGTGAAAAATGGTTACATTAATTATTACATTCACTGGATTTAGTAACACAATATCAGAAACAATACACATATGCGGTGACATTCCGCAAAACTCGAAATGATTTTATCATACCGCAAAAATAAAAAGAATAAAAAGTAAACACGTCATTTCTATTGTATTTCTACGTGGTAGGATCCAAAAGTTCGAAGACGTCTTATAGTTCCTCGCTTTGAATAGTTTAAAACACCAACGCACTATCACCTTCTCACTTAGTCGACGATACATCGTTTTCCAGCGCTGGTACAGCTTATGGAAGCTTTACTGTAAGCCTTCTTTTCAACTACATGTTTCCTGTCATGCTGATTTTACCTCTTTTGATATCTGAAAACGACCTGAGGTCGTTTCCATATTTTGGAGTCATCATGTCCTTCATATTTTACTTTTTTCACATCATTAATTAATGACTCATTTATTACTATAAATAAGCAGAGGAAACACTATTTAAAACGAATAAGGGTAATATTTTTATGCACAAATTGCTTTTTGTAATTGTAATTTTTGAAGATATTTTCACTGAACGTATTTTTAAAATGTGCTGACAGACTTCGGATTAATGTGATTTCATTTTCCATGCAATTGTTTTACTACAAACTTCCAATTTTTTAAAATTATATTTTGCTCAGTAAATATGAATTTTTTTGATTCATCGTGAATCGTGTACAGTTTTTTTTCGTCATAACACGTTGTTTGGGAGAATAATGGCGGTTTAAAGTCATGTGATAACAAACTGCGAATAGAAAAGTGTTAGTTATTGGCTCATTATAGGTTCTCTCGTCTGGTCGTTGGGCAAGAGCTGCACTGACTATAACGTCCCGTAGTTATAGGCTCTCTATCAGGCCCCCTTTTCAAGCCTTCCTGCCGTTCACTTCTTCGTTTTGTTCCCTGTATTTACTCACCGTTCACTTTGGAACCACTTCTCTAAACGAACTAATAAATATGGCATCGCGAAAATAAGATGCACTGCCTGGTGTTTTTTTAAGAGAGCTTTTTTTTTAAGCAAGACCATTATGGGTTCGGCTAGGCTGACAACGGGATACCCAAGTGAGCGACATATCCGGGTAAGGGCCGAAAAATTCTTGGGTTTTTGACCCGTCTGGATTATGATCCGGGTTCTCCCAGAGCATTAGACAGCAACCTTAATTAAGTGCTCGGCCATCCGGTCGTTAACTACTTAAATTGACTGTTGAAAGACACTCTAGTGACTTATGCTTTAATAAGTTGCTAGTAAATGTACTCTCTCTGTAACAAATTGTTAATAATGGCGCCATCTATATTTCTTAACGAAGTTTTAATAGAAAGGGCCTTTATCAGTTTCGGCTTTTTCGTCACGTTTTAACATCAAGATATTAGGGTCAGTCTACTTTTTTAGATCCTTTCGGCGATCAAAAACCACTAACATTTTCGAAACCTCCAGCAAATTATAAAATAAAAAAGTGTCAAAAGTTCTATTATATTTTTAAATAATAAAATTGAGCAAAAGTAAAGTTTTTTCTAAATACATAAATCGAATGAATACTTTGTAACAGTGCTTTTAAGGCTTCTTTAAATATGAGGTCCTGGGCAAATGATCTGTAATAGGGTCTTCCTTATGACTTAGCATTTATACAAATTGACAAATGGGCTATGAGCAAAAAGTATCAAAATGAAAAAGAACATTCACTGACTCTTTTCGATATCATTTTCCCATCATTATGTATTGAATTTTAAGAAAAGAACAGCTTTTAATGATTGAGAAAATCTTAATTTTAATAATATAAATTTACATATTTTTTACAAGAATATTAATTTTTTTCAGACAAATATAATAGGCCTATTTACCTAAGAATATTTACTATCTTCTATAAAAACAATCAACATGCTAATGCTAAAAATTTTGAAGAAAGTATAATAATGGTCTAAATAATATATTTAACTTGTTATCTTTTTGGAAAATTCTACATAATTTATGCGGCCATTATTATCTGCATTTGCTTCTCGAATCATTTCTTCGACTTCTTTTTCTGTTAATTTCTCTCCAAGATTAGTCATAATGTAACGCAGATCTGAAACACTTATATATCCGGTACCATCCTCATCAAAAACTCTGAAAGCATCAATAATTTCTTTTTCGCCAACTTTTTCTTCCATCATTTTAGATATCAAAGAAAGAAACATTGAAAAGTCGATGACTCCGTTTTTCTCTTTATTTATCTTGTTAATAACTTCTTGGAGCTCGAATTCTGTTGGTGTTAAGCCTAAAGATCTCATAATTGTATCTAATTCATTGCTAGATATTAGGCCGTCTCCATCTTTATCGAACAGCAGAAAAGCTTCTTTAAATTCGGATATCTGTTTTTTGGTCAGATTTTCAGTCATGATGCGCTCCTTACTTTCAGACAGTATTAAGATTTTGATTGAAATTGTTGAAATTTTATTATTAAATTAGATCAATCATTGTTATTAAACGTGTTTTGTTTTATTATTACTATTTTCTGTTACTTGTTATGTAAAATGAGTATTGATTTCAAGAGATAAATACTAGTGATGTAACGAATATTCGGTTACTATTCGGTATTCGGCCGAATACCGAATACCTAAAAACAAGACTAAGAAATAACGAAAACACAGTAAATTAATCATTTTGGTATTTAGATTTAATGTTATCGGGTTAGTGTTGTTTATATTTAGGGGAGATCGGGGAAACTTCGGCATGCGGGGCAAGTTTGTCAAGCGCTTTTTTTAAAAAACAAATTAAAAGGAGACTTTGGTTATAGGTTAGGCAGTTGAGTTTTATTGGTGGCTTGTTGAGTGTAGTGTTTTNTATATATATAAATGGAAGTGTATATATATATATGTATAGATTATATTATCGTGTCAACTATTTCTGTTACTGCTCGTGTGTGTGTAGGGAACTGTGGAAGTGATGTCACGCTCGACAAGTTTCCCACCGGTCAGGGAAAATTTCCCTGTGTCAGTTGTCCCTACACCCTTGTCGTGTGTACGCGTGTTCGCGAGCTAACGACACCATTTTAGCATTTTTAATGTCACTTTCTCTCGTAGATAGAATGTATTATGGTGAATTAAAGTAACTCGATTTGTTAATATCGATGAGTGCCTGCTTATTCCTTAATTTTGTTGTTTTTAAACGAAGCAAATAGCCGGAAATAAAAAATCGTTCGTAACTTTTAAACGGTTGATCGTAAGTAATTTTTTTCAATGCCAGTCGATTCAGCATATCATATTACATCTAGATATGTCTATGTCTATTCGTTAATATTAAGTTTAAGACCTTTTTTCGCTGGATACCTTTTCCTTTACTCCAGTTAGGCCTATGAGGTAAACTACGATCTACACTTTACTTGGATTGATTCTTATTAAAATATCATAAATTAGTTGGCAATAAGTCTAAAATCATACGTATATATCACATAAAATAGTACAATTGAAAATAACCTACCGAAAGACATTTTTCACTGTCAAAAACAAGTTCCACGAAGTACGTACTGTACGTCTAAACTGTAACAGAAACGTCTCAGAATGAATCTGCACTTTATGGCGCTCCCTCCTGGTAAAAGACGTCAACGCCTAGAGAAAATTTTAACCAATAAGCCAACTTTTTTATGGGTTTCTTTAATTTACACCGATTTATTAAGTAATCTGCGCATTATATACAATTTAATAATAAATTATAAGTATATGCAGATCATATATAGTTCTATACCCGGTGATTCCCAAACTTTTTCGAGCTATCGCCCCTTAGTTCCGTAAACTTATAGTCAACGCTCTCTCCCTTTCCCATGTGTAAGAAAGGCTTGGAAATATTCTTAGAAAGACTTTTCTATATACTTTACATTGTTTTCCACATCTGGAAACCACTAAAGTAAGAAAATAAATGTCTTTTTCGATTTTTACAATTAATTTTTACTATTATTATTTGTTATTTAATATACTATTTAATGATTTTTGGAATTTGTTTAGATGAACATTTACCCGACGCGATGAGTGGCGAGCCAATTCTTTTAATTTTTAATATCTTGAAAGTTAATAATTAAAGTTGTTTTATGTTGTTCTAAAAATAGATTAAGTAAACGTGACAAAATGATACCAAACGTCTCGGAGAACAAAAGTATCGCCTTGTCCCGCCTATTCACTAGGTCTAATGCCATTTATTTTTAAAATTATAAAAGAAATTATAGTGTTCGTTTAATTCGTTACCTTTTATATAATTAGTGTAGAAATATAAATAAAGATTTGAACAAATATAAAAATTTTATTTTATTTTGTAAACTTCAAAAACGCATCTATAGTACATAGTTATATCATTACAGTAATTATTAAAAAAAACAAATTATATTTTGAAAAAATCATACTTAACATTATTTCACAGTTTTAGATAATATGCGCATTGTTGCACTTTTACTCGAAAGAACGTTTTTTTTTTTTATTGTGCTTTACATTTATTTTCTTTTTTAAGCCAAAAAGTTTGTCTAAATGTTATAAAACGATTTATTATTTTTCTTTTTACGTTGTGATATTCTTTAAAATAAATTTTCTGAATTTCAAAATTGGAATTTATATTTTCAATTCGGAATTCCTTACAGTTTTGTTTTTTCTTCAAAAGAACATTCTGCAAAGATCTGAATTTTATTTCTATACAGTATATAAAAGCAATCGATTTGTGCTTTTAGCAGCATAAATTAGAAAACTTTTCTTGTAACTACTCAAAGATACTAATTTTGTTACATTTGTAGCTATATAAATGGCATCTTTGGAGCATATAGGATTCAAAACATTCATTACATATTTTCTTATTCTCTCTTAGGTTCCATAATATATAGCCTGCAATATAACATAATACGTTATTTTCTGTATTAGATAGAGGTTAGTCCATATTCATTGCATCCCATTCTTCTATTTTAATATTTTTAATAAAATTAGCTCGTCCTTTCAATTTTCTAGTTCCATCAATTTCAGTTTTTCCCATTGATCATCGGGAAAATACACGTACCTTAATATCAGATTAGGTGTATCATTTCAGATATTAAGACAGCGCGTTTTGATTTAAACCAGGGGTGTCCAACCCGCGGCCCGCGGGCCGCATGCGGCCCAAGGCAAGTTCCAATGCGGCCCAATAAACGTGTAAACAAAACCGACAAATGTTTTAATTTTTACAGTAGAGCCTCGATTATCCGACCCCCGATTAACCGACACCTCGGTTAACCGACCGTCCTAGTCGGCAAATTTCAAATGTCCACTAGTGATGTGGCGCTACAATATTTGCCTATGTCTTGGCTACTTTAATATTATTTTTACGTGTTTTAGCTGGCAACACTCATTCGACCATGAAAGGGAGCCAGTATTTAAACGAGGCTTAATTTTCTAATTTTTAACGTTACAATAGCGACGATTATTATTTTAAAAAATTTTTGTTAGGCTTATTAGTCATCGATGAAAATTCAACGCAAAGTAAGTTAATAGCGGTATACTAATATACTAATTACATGGGATATAATAATATACTACACTAATAATGGATTTTTTCATACTTTTCGGTTATCCGACTTTTCAATTATCCGACCAACCCCAGTCCCCAATTGGGTCGGATAATCGAGGCTCTACTGTATTATTATTTATTTATTTCAACGGCATAAACTCAAAAAAAAGTTTCACAAAGCCGTAAACCTTTATTCATATTTTATTTTTGAGTGGAAAGAAAATATTTTCAAATACTTGGAGATGTGTGAATGCGGAAGGATTACTAAATAAAGCTGGAGTTGTGACTCAAAGGATTATACAAGGAGACCCAAATTTGGGAAAAGGAGGGAAAGATGAGAAAGGACAAAAGATGTAGTAGTGAGAAACGTTAAATAGATCTTCCGTTAAGCAAATATAGACCCGTAATTTTTCAACCTTTTTTACTTCTTTATCTTCTGTCCTTTGCCTCTTTTTCCCCGCACTTGGGTCTATAATCCTTTGATTCACAACTCCAGCTTTATTTAGTATTTCTTCCAACGTTGCAAGATTTGGCTACATTTGGCCAAATGTGGCTACTTTTTTTTTGCTTGACGTAAAAAATATCATTTGGCGCTTTGGCTACTTTTTCGGCTACATATTATTTATAATTATATTAATTGCATAAAAATGCACTTTAAAATGTGCATTTTTATTCAATTAAATGTGTTTCGTCGCTTTTTATTAATTAGAGACCCAAATAAAACAAATATTTGTGTTTTTAAAATAAATCTTCTTTAGTCTCTTTTATAATAAATGAATTTATCTATTTCTAAATAAAAATTGAAAGTGTCTGTATAAGTAATTTTTTAAAATATCCTTTTTTCTTGATAAAGGTTTAATACTTATTATTATAATCTAGACATGTTAGTTTTTAAATGTACTTGTATATTGGGTCACAAGTATATATTATATATAGACCTACTTGTGGTCCAAAACTCCTTGACTTCTTCCAATACGGCCCAGAGAAACAAAAAGGTTGGACACCCCTGATTTAAACAATTTATGCTAATACTTATTTAATTGCATGGAACTTATTAAATAATTATGCAATTGAAAACTATAACTAACATATAAGTAAAAAATATCTTATAACATATTAGTAATATATGTTATTACTAAAAATAGATTGATATGATTTCGTATAATATATATCTGTAGGCCTATAAATTATATATTTTAAACATTATCTATATATATATATATGTTTATAGAATATTAAATGTATTCTATGTGAGGTATATTTATAAAACAACTTAATCCTTGCATAATACACATCCATACTTGTATATTACTATTGTTATTTATTAAACTAAAATAATAATTTATTAAAGTGGCTTATGATAAATACTATATAATTAAAATATATTTATTATTCATCAATCAATTCAATATCAAGTTCCACCTTATATATTTTAGATTCTAAATTACAAATCTACTGTAAATTACAATACTTTATATCAAAATAAAGTAGATTCGTATAATTAAACTGGTCGAGAAAAATTTATCCAAAATTAAACGCCGAATTATAAAGGTTTTTCGTTTTTTTTTTTTTTTAATATTAACTTTAT